AATAGTCATATCCTGCCAGTGCTTTGGAGATTTAAAAGATATATTAACATAGAGCAATGTTGAAACTTTTAAGAAATTTATGGTTTATAAAAGCTCTTCATGGCCATGCCATCTTGCAATTAAAGGTTTCTGTTATTTTTGAAGGACTGCAAGAGGTTCTGAGTCATATATTGGATAACAAAATGCTAAGGCAAACATTTGTACACTTAGGTATATACTATATTTAGATGAAATAGTCTACAAACTCTTCTGCCAAGCTGGTTAGTCTTTTGATCCCCGCTCCCTTCTTTAGTTCCAGTTGGTTTTGGTGCAGTTTTGAATATGGTTTCATTCTTGGCCAGTGCCTCACTGCTTTGCATATGAGAGTTGACAAGTCCAAGGATGCTGGTTTGGTTTCTCTATGGCTCAGATCTCTTCCTGCTGGTAGAAAGTCAAAGACTGTCCTTTAAATCATGACCAACCATTTTATAAATGTTAGTCATGAAGGAGATGGATGAGGGGAGTCAGCATGGCTCAGTGGCTGCTCACGACCAGGCAGGTCAGGGCACGTGTCCTCCAGGATGAGGTTCATGGAGCTCATTCTCCCTCACTTGCAGAAAACTGAATAACATTTATTTTCTAAGTTGCTACAAACTGTACATGAACGATCCTCAGAATGTTAGATTCTATAGCATTTCTTCTTCTTCTTTTTTTTTTTTCTTCCTGGCTTTAAAGTTAGATTTTAAGTTAATTTACCTACAGCAAAGCAAATGTATTGTGATGACAAGAATGCAGTTTATGGTGTAAGACTGTCCACCCTAATTATATCACAGTTATGTGCCATTAAATGAAAATATTTTTATTACTTTACTTTTATGTATATGGGTATTTTAAAATAAATTTTTATTAACAATCTGAGAATCTCATACATGCATACAATGTATTTCGATGCTATTCACCACCCCCTGCTTCTTGCTTGCCTTTACTTCTTTTTTTATGCCTTCCAAATTTTGCGGTCTTTTTAAAATTATTTTAAAAAAAGTTTTTGTATTACAATAGTCTTACATAATTTTCCTCTTCCATTTCCTCCCTCCAACCCCTTCCACGATGTAGCCCACCTTGGTCTCATTCATCTCATGGTCTCTTTTACTTTAATTGTTTTGAATACATATATTTCTAAACATATAAATACAATATGCTCAGTCCATATAATGTTACTTGTATGTATATGATTTCAGAGCTGACCATTTGGTATTGGATAATCAATTGGGGTGCTTTTCCCTGGGGAAAGTTAATTCTCCAGCTTTGAGAATTCCTCAGTGGTCTGTACTTCCTTGTCTAAGGTTGAGGCTCCTTATGTGCTTTCCCACTTTCACGTTAGCTTGTCTGTTGCTGCCATCCTTGTTCAGGTCATGTTTAGGCAGCCATGCTGGTGAGATTTCATGGATGCAGATTCTCTGACATTTCCAGGTGACACAGTCTCACAGCAAACTTTCTGTTCTTGCTCTTACATTTTTCTGCTTCCCCATTCTCCTTTTTCCTCTTCCTCCTCTGCCTTCTCCTCCTCTCCTTGATCATTGCGTCTTAGGTGCAAGAATTACATTGTAGATGTATCAGTTAGGAATGGGTTCCACAACTCTGAGTTTTGGTCATTGTGGTTTTCTGTAATAGTCTTCATCTGTTGCAAAGGTAATTTTTCTTGATAGGGGTGAGAAATACCATCATATTTATAAGGATAAATATTTAGAATGTAGTTTTGTTTATGCCATTTTAATTAGGGGGGGGGCTGTAGGGTCTCCATCAAGATCTATGACTTTATTAGCCTTGGGTAGTTACCTAGGTTTCCAGTACAAGGCTGATTTCCCTATTGTTGGATGAGTCATAAGTACAATTAGAGAGCTGTTGGTTACCACCAATGTTTGTGTGTCACTGTTATAAGGGTATCATGACACGCCGGTTGTTATGTTGCATTGTATCGTAACTGGTTAGGGTTGCTGGTTGCTTCCCTCCTTGGAATTTTGCATGGTGCTGTCTGGTAACATGAAAACTTAAAGAGGAGGCTTTAAGATCGGCTCTAGCTTAGATCCTCTGGATCCTGTGCCAAAAAATGCATGGTGTCATCAGCAGTAGGGAGATAGCTTCCACTTCTGGGGCCAACCGAGAGGAGCAGCAATAGCCTAGAATGTTTTGGGTCTCCCTTGGGAACCCTGAGAGGGACTCTGGTGTCTTGTGTCTGGATTTTTGTTAGGTGGTCTGCGGCTCTTGGGGAGGATAATGTGCTTTGCCTGCATGTTAACGTAAGCACCACATGAGCGCCTCGTGCCCTCATGGCCAGAGAAGGGCTCTGGATCCTTGTAGCTGAAACTGCGGATGGTTGGGAGCCACCGTGAAGGTTTCGGGTTTCGGGCCCCAGTCTTCAGGGAGAACAACCAGAGCTCTTAACTGCTGAGCCATCTCTGCAGCCCCACAGCTACCATTAAATGTAATCACGCGTTCTACAAGTATCTTTTTCCTTCTCTGAAAAATACACGGTTGAAAGAATTAAATAAGATATTTGTACATAAAGTATCATAAACATAGTACATGCATGATGGCTGCTGAAGTTCTCAACTTTTCCTTTTATGATACACCAATCTGATCACTTAATTAGGGAAGTTTTCTATAGCTATAATTAACACCCATTTGGTGCCAAGCCTGCTTTGGGGTGCTTTGTGTATATTATCTACTCTCTCTAGTTGGAATTTTGAATCGGAGGATTGAACTAAACACAGATGTGTATTGTTAGAAAAAAATTCTGACTAAACAGAGTAATACAGACTATATTACAGAGTATTACAAAGTTTCTCATCACTTTCTCTATAATGCAATATAATAACTATTTACTCTGTGATAGGTAGGGTATCTAGAAGTGATTTAAAGTACCAGAACTGTATACATAGGCTATTTGCAAACTACAGCATTTTTCACAAGGAATGTGAGCATCCAAGGACTTTGGTATTGGAAGGCAGCCTGGAACCAATAAAGCAATACACTTGTTATCAAGCAATATGGGATCAGGTGATAACCTCACAGTTATTTATAATTATGATTCCCTTCAAGGTGAAGCAACAGATAAATGCTTCTCACCTAGTCACTGGATACAGTTAACTAGAATCCAAGAGCATTTCTTGGGAAAGTAGTTTTCTTTTTCTTTTTCTTTTGTGTGTGTGTGTGTGTGTGTGTGTGTGTGTGTGTTGCTGCTGCTAGTGGTGACGATGGTGGTAGTAATGGTGATAGAGGTTGTGGTGACGGTGGTGATGATGGTGGTAGTAATGGTGTCGGTGATGGAGGTTGTGGTGATGGTGACAGTGGCATTGAGGCTAGAACTAGGACCTCACACATGCCAGATGGGCCCTCTGTGCCACTGAAGTATACTCAGATGAGATACAGCTTGTGACCCCCTTAATGAAATATCCTTAATTGAGGCTCAGTGTTACTGTATCAGCAACAAGCAGATGAGGAGGGGAAGAGGTGACTCCTACAAGGTCATACTAGTGACTGACTTGTCACAAGTGACTGTTCATCACATGCTATGGAATGTTGGCCCTTTCATTTTTAAACATTGTTAATAAGGATGACATTTACCTTACACAGGCGACTGTAAGGCTTCCTACTTTGGCTTGTACATGGTATTTCTTTACATGTAACTATTTTTTACCAATTCACTTTACTTTTGAATGAGATGTGAAACATAACCATAAAGCATACTAGACAAGTCTCACATAGAAAAATCTTCCCTGAAAAGTAGTTTGTTGGTTTGTCTTTTAGCATGCAGTAAAATCAACTGGCCAACGAAAATATGCAAGTAACACCTATGTTAAAATTTCTTGTATATACATTAAAAGATGAAAATAAAAATTAAGTGTTTTAAATAAGTAGATAATATAATATCAATAGGTAATCAACAGACATATATTTTAAATTTGCAAAGTTTTAAAAACCCGGTACATATATGTCAACTTGGCCACTAGCTGGCCAACAGTACAGTGTAATATAGTTCTACTGAAAGCTGTATTTGATGAACATCCTATCCTACTTAAGTCAAAATTTATATTCAGTAGAATGATATTAAACATTTATATTTGAGTTAAGCTTCCACTCTAAAAATCTCAGTAGCCATATTTCAAATGATAATAGCCACACTTGGCCAGTGGGTACTATTTCAAAAGCTTTGGACCTATTCTAGACTTTTTCTTGTGCCTCCAGAGCGTCATGGACTCTGTGAGGTTTATTTTTGTTTGATATGCCACTTGGCTAACACTTGGCGTTTTTTTACGTTTTAAAAGCCAAATCAAAGACTAAGAGAAAACTGCAAGTTTCTTTTGGAGTGTTCACTGAACATTATTAACGTTTGTTTGTGAATAAATTCTCTGGGCAAAATCAAACAACCCTACAGAAGTAGGTAAATGTGCCGTTGATACGGACTTAGAAAAATAAGCCGAGGATGTAGTGGCGGAACCACTTTGGCCGCTGCTTTGGGTGGCTGTGTCCTGGCGTGACGACAGATTTAACTTCTACGTATTAGGGCTGGCGATTTTCACCTCCCTGACAAGCAAATTTCAGAGTTTGCACCTCTCAGAGCATACAGAGGTCTTTCAGCGGTAGTCGCTGAACTTGCACCGACGGAGATTTAGCTAAAGCCCCTTTCTATTTTTAGCCAGACCAACTGCGGGGCAAGTCAAGCTTCTGCAGAGTGAAAAGCGCCCCGGAAAAAAAAAAAATCTAGATCTTTGCCAGGTCCCACTCGAAATCCGCGGAGACTACACCCACCGAAACTCCATGGAGGGATTGTCTCTGAGGCGGCTGCAGCCGGCCCTGGCAAGTCCAGGCGGCCAGCCCGGAGACTCAATCAATGCACTCTAGGTCCTGAGCGGCGCGGCCCCGCCCAGCCCGGCTCGGGGGGAGTGGTCAGGCCGGGCGGGGGCGTGGCCGGCCTCCGGGCGGGGCGGGGCGAGCGGGAGGCGGAAGTTCCCCACCGGCTGGAGGGGGACCGCGCAGTCAGGGCCAGCCACTTGTCAGTGCTGCTCTGAGGCGGAGGCTGCGCTGCGCGGGTCCGGAGGTGAGCGGCGCCGTGGTCCCCGCGGGGAGAGGAGGCGAAGGAGGTGGCCGGGTGCGGCGCGCGGAGAGGTTGCGGGCCGGGAGGAGGACGGGGCGCGCGGCTGCTCAGGTGCCCTCGGTGCGCGCCGAGGTGTGAGGAGTTCCCGGGCGGGGCGGCGCGCGGCGGGGCTGAGCGCCGGTACCGGGGAGGTCGGGGACCGGCGCTCCCGAGAGCCGGGCGCGCCGGGGGGCGCCTGCCGGACCCGAGGGGCAGCACCTCGGCCTGCGGGTGCACCGGACCCCCGGGGGACCCCGGCGTGCGGAGGATGTGCGCCTGCACGGGAAAGCGGTGCTATTTTGTTTGCTGGCTCCCCGGCTACCGAGCAGCGTTTGTTTCCCCTGCCTTAAACATTTGCAATTGTGTAACCTGTTGGGGGCTGGCGGGGGGGAGGTCGGTCGGTGCGTCCAGAAATAAAGCCCACTTCACGAATCCGTCGCGATCGCGGGTTTTATGAAACGGGTGTACTTGCTGGGGCTTTTTTCAGACAGTGCTATAGCTGCGTTTGACAAAGAGTGGAAAAAGGAAGGGCGTATGGACTGGGCAGAACTTGGAAAGAAAATTCGTGACTGGGCTGGGCAGGTCTAGGGTGTGATCGCCGGATCCTATCCCAGGTCCGCCTTCTTGACCCGAGGACGTCTGAACCCGCCTGCCACGGAAGCTGCTGGCTGGGGAACCTTATTTGGCCAACAGGGCAAGGCGTGAAGCTCAGCTGGGAAGCGTCCCATCTGCTTTCATCCTGTGCCTTAGTGCTTTAGTCCTCCTACCATTATAGCTCAGAAGGGGAAGAAGAGTCTCTAGGTAGTCCTAATTGGAAGGCTTGTCACTTAGGGTTGGTTTCTCCTCCTTTACACACGCCAAGTAAGCTACCACAGAAGTGAGGGAAACCACCTCCAGCCTCCCTCACTAGCGCTGGAGGGAAGACACAATTTAGACGGTCCCTAAAAAGAAAATCCAGAACTCTGCAGAAATTCCAACATTTTTACATGTTTGAAAACAGAAGAAGCTGTTATTTCCTGCCTCCATGGTTGGTATTTTAGCGTTTGGGTACTAAGAACCACACGGAAGAGACTTGGAAAAGGCCAATAAAAATATTGCCATTGCTTAAGGATCAGAATATTTTAAGACAAAATGAATTCCAAGTGAAGCTAGCAGAAAGGGAATTTTAGAGAGGACACCAGTGTTATGCTGTGACTGACTTGGCCAGTGCTAGAAATTTTAATAACAAATGGGAGAAATCAGGAAGGGAGTCCCTAAGAAAAGGGAAGTTACATGGATGTGGCTTGATACACACATAAAATACATTCTCTCCTGGGGAAGAATGGAGTCGGAAGAAGTTCAGCATAACTTTCACATTCTTCCTTTGGCACAGTTAAAGACTGAAAAAGGACAGTGGCCTGTGTGGTATCAGTTGGCTTTAAGAGTTATTTGTACTGTGTGTCAATATCAAGACTGCTTCTGCTGGTCTTGCCCAGATCTTTTTATAGCGGGAAGGCGATTTTGTGTGGCTTGTTTTCAACTCCGAACCGTTTGTTTTTCACCTGCAATTTAGCTGTTTGACCTCTGGTGTCCTGAAGGTGGACGAAAGTACCAAAGTGATGTTACTGCACTCCAGTTCACCACTGCGGCTCCATCTTAATGCTTAAAGTGGGGTACATTATCCCGCAAGTAATTTTTCTTTCTTTTCTAGGTTTCCTTTAAAGTGTTGCTTCATTTTCCCTTTTTGAGAAGGAGGAAGGAATCGGTTTGCCTTCCCCTCAATGGTACATGTGCTACTGAACTTTACGTGTTGGGATGGAAGTTAGGGAGGATTTAAAAAGTAGTATATTAATGTGGCTGACTTAACAGTTGAAGTCAGATATATATGTATATATACATGCATATGTCTATTTTTGGTGCTGAAAATTAGACCCAAGGCCTCATAAATGCTATGCAAACTCTCTAACACCGAGATATATTTCCATCCCCAAAGCTTTGTTTTGACAATTGTCTTTAAAGTTATAAAATCATATACCTGCTATATAGTTTTATTCTTCTTTTTAAAGTGGGAACCACCTTCATTATTCCCAGTGCCTCCTATCAGGACAATCTGAAGTCAGTTTGAGCTTTTAAAATACCTACTCTGGAGACATCATGAGCCTAAGTACAGCAAGACAAGGAAAAAAAAAAGTCTTCAAGTTAGTTTCATTAAGGTTAACCTTGTAGTTATGGTTAGAACAGCCCCATTTAATGGCTTGGGAAGTCTTACTTTTTGCTTTGCTGGATGATGTGTGAATATAAAGAAAAACAAAGATGCAGACTAAAATACCATGTGCTCTAGAATATAGACTATTATTGCCTATGGGAAAGAAAAAATAAGGCGTTAGGTTCAGTTCCTAGTCCCATAAACAAACAGGCCAGGCCAACAAACAAAAACCCAGTTTTATACACATGTCATCCTTCCTTAAAAAATATCTGAACTCCTGTCTTTCCTGCCTTGGTCTACTTTTCCACTTTTAAGCCCCACTTACACTTCTGTCCCACCGCACCTGATTCAACAGCACATGTAGATGTCCACTGAAGATGAAACAATGCTTTAAGTTCCCTTACTTGTGGAAAATACCATATTCCTATAGAAGAGGCTATGAGTTACAGTCTTTAATTAGAATAGTTGAGGCTTACCTCAGTTTTAAATAATTTATTAGAAAACACGAACAGAGCCAACAGATTTGCAGTCCCTTGTATGTGTTCACATAATTGAAGCATATGGGGTGGTAGGGTTCTTCTTGACAACAGGCACAAAGGGTGCACCACCCTTTTTGATTTTTTGATTTTGTTTGATTTTGCTATTTGGAAAGGTGGACAGATGTCTAAAAGTACATTCTGGTAGGTGATTGGCATGCACATGAAATTGAGTGTTAATTAGCTCATTGATTTCTTTTCCTCTACTGAAATCAATAAAGAATTTGCTAGATACGACCTATATGTCCTTTCATCCCTCCCCAAAATAGTGAACAGCTTTGTTGGCTTTATGGAAAATGCATTGACATATGTAATTGGGTTCCTTTTGTTTGTTTGTTTCAAGATAGGGTTTCTCTGTGTAGCCCTGGCTGTCCTGGACTCACTTTGTAGGTCAAGCTGGCCTAGAATTCACAGAGATCTGCCTGCCTCTGCCTACCTGAGTGCTGAGATTAAAGGCATGTGCCGCCATGCCTATGCCTAGTTTGTAATTGGGTTTCTAATAAACATTTTTAACTATCTTTCTAATTTTTAACCAATTGTCTTTTGCAGCTTCTTCTGTTTTCTGGAACTGCACGTTGAACCCTGGGAACCATGAGCAACTACAGTGTGTCACTGGTTGGCCCAGCTCCTTGGGGTTTCCGGCTCCAAGGTGGCAAGGACTTCAACATGCCTCTGACCATCTCTAGCGTAAGCAGATTTTACAGACGTCACTACCAATGCTCACTGGCTGTTTGGTCCTGGGAACTGCAGGACTGGGTTGTCAAATTCTCTTTGACCTATAGTAACTTATTACAATAGTGTGATTTTTCCACCCCCCTCGTACCTGTTTTGGGCATCCATAAAGATGTTGAAGGAAGGTACTTAAAAAGAACAGTTTGTTTTAGTTCAGCTTGTATTCAGTTTCTCCAGAACTAAGATAGCAAACACCTAACCAAGGTGCTAACTCTTAAGATTTCGAATTGTCCTGTTTGGGAAATTCTCTGGGCTTTAGTTTCTTCAAAATCACTTTTATGGCATTGTACTATCAAGGTTTTTTTTTTTTTGGTGTGTGTGTGTGTAAACATACCACATTTTCTTTTTTTTAATTATTTTTCTATTGTTTGTTATTATTAGTTACATTTTATTAACTCTGTATCCCAGCTGTATCCCACTCCCTTATGCCCTCCCAATCCCACCCTCCCTCCCTCAGCTTCTCCCTGCTCCTTTCCAAGTCCACGGATTGGGGAGGACCTCCTCCCCTTTCATCTGGCCCTGTTTTATCAGGTATCTTCAAGACTGGCTGCAAAATCCTCCTCTGTGACTTAGCAGAACTGCTCCTCCCTTCGGGGGTGGGGAGTCAAAGAGCCTCTCATTGAGTTCCTGTTAGAGATTGTCCCTGTTCCCCTTACTATGGGAAACTAATTGGTTATTGAGCTACCACGAGCTTCGTCGAGTTAATGGCCCCTTTCAGTTCCAAACTGTTAACACTAGTGATCATCACTGGTTTTGGTATTAGTTCCTCAATTTACATTCTGGTGAAGTTAGTAGTCATGGGTAAGATGAAAAAATGCCATGTATATCTGTGGAGAGAATGAAGGGTGTGGCTCTCCAGCAAGATTGTCAGCCTGTGAATAACTGAGGTTTTACTTTTACCACATTTAGGTGAATGCAGTGTTTGGGTGTGGGTGTAGGTGTGCAGGTATGTAGGTGCGCAGGTATGTATGTAGACACGGAGAGAGGAAGAGGAAAAGGAGAGAGGAGTCAGGGGAGAGACTGAGACTTACTCTGTAACCCTATAGTGCTGGATGGTCTGGAACTTGCTATCGACCAGGCTGGCTTTGAACTCACAAGAGATTTACCTGCCTCTACCTTGTGAGTGCTGAGAGTAGAGGTGTGTAGCATCATGTCTAGGCTCACAATGTCTTGATGATTCTGAGAAGGGGATAATTACAACTTTTACTTACCATGTTAGGCCTGGTCACTCCCCAAGAGGTAATTACTATTATTTATTTTTATAATTTTGTATGTGTGTGTGTGTGTGTGTGTGTGTGTGTGTGAGTATGTGGGTATGTACACTCATGAATAGGCCAGGCAGGACATCAGGTTCTGCCTTTATCACTCTGTGCCTTACTGCTTTGAGACAGGCATTCATTGAACCAGAAGTTCACCATTTAGACTAGGCTGATTGGTCAGTGTTCTTTCTTGGGATCCTCCTGTCTCTGCCCCCTGACACAGCCATGCCCAACTTTTTATATGGGTGCTGGTATTCAAACTCAGCTCCTCATGCTCAGGTTCTCATGTATTTTTACCCACTGAGCTATCTTTCCAGCTTTCTACTTGCATAACCCTCTAGAGGAGATTTCTAGACATTCAGGTTAATATGAATTTTCTTTTTTATTAAATTTCTTTTTAGGTGATACATAAGTCATGCATAGTAATGGTTTACCATGTAAAGTTTTGATGCATGTATACATTGTATAACATTTAAAATGAGGTTAAACATTTATCTTCTCAAACATTTCTAATTACTTTTTGTGGTACTAGGGCTAGGGCCAAGGGCCTTATAGATGTTAGGCAGAAGTTCTCCCAATGAGCTCTATATATTATAGGCCTCATTTTACATTTTATTTTGGGCCCACGCAGGCCTTGAACTTGTGCTTCTCTTGCTCAGCCTTATGAGTATCTGGGATTACAGGTCTGCAAAACCAGGTCTGACATCACTTTTTAATGGTGGAAACTTTCAAAATTCTTTATTCCGATAAATATGAATTTTGTCTGTCAAAATACTAGCATATTAGATATAGTTTCCATATTCTGCTTTTTTCTCTGTAAGTTTTTTTTTTAGAGTCACCGTTCTCCTTCCTTTTTTTTTTACTCCTACTGCCCCTTCCTGGTTCCCTTCCTCCATCTCTTTGTCTTCCTCTTCTTCCTTTCTTCTCTTTCTCCTTTCTCTTTTTTTTTTTTTTTCGACTTTTTGACTTTTTCTCTTTCTGGATAGTGTTATCCTGTGTCTCTCAGATTGGTCTCAAACCCATATAGCCTAGGCAGACCTCAAATAGGTGATGATTCTTGAGCCTCCTGAATATTGGGATTAGACATATGTACTACCATACCTGGCCCTTATAATTCTTTAGTTATATATGCATACATGTGCATATATGTGTGTAAATGTTTTTGTATATATTTTTTCTTAGTACATATGTAAAATCCTACCTGATTTCGAATATTTAAGAATAAGTTAGTGACCCCTGCATATTGCAGGTATTACAAATCCCCTTTTACTGATGGAGTTCCATTGTTTCTTGGCAATGAATTTGCAAATAGCTTATCTTTAACTTATTGTATATTTTTTCTAAATTCTAGTTAATCATATTTAATAATATATAAGTTTTAAGACTTTGTGCTTAATTTTAAATGTGAAGTATCCGTGGGAAAGTGTTGTGTTAGGATTTATTTTTGGTCAAGTAAGGTAGTACTTCTGTGCTGAAGATTGTGATGAGGGTGAAATACTCTGGTTTGCTCTTAACATTATTTTATATTAAGTTTTGGTGTCCCACTAATTGACTTGTTTGGGTTAAAAAGTTCTTAAAGTATTTATTCATTCTTTGTGTGCGTGTACACACATATGTACGTGTACTTGTGCTCTAAGCGTGCATGAGCATGTCACAGTTCAGGAGTACAGGTCAGAGGAGAGCTTCCAGGACTCTCTTCTCTCCTTCCTGGGACTGAGCTCCGGTGCCTTCTACCTGCTAGCTCATCTCACCAACCTCAGTTCTAACTATTTCAAGCTTTGCTGAGAAAAAGTCCAGAAATACATTGGTACCTAAATGAAACAAACTTGATCACTGCCTTGTTGGTTGGTAATAAAGATGCGAAGCACATGTTAGCTGCTGTGTGGTGCCGGGACTGTTGAGTTGTATGCGCTTCGGTTCTCTGGCGGACAGTGTGAGGTGCTGGGCTCGTGTTGTGACGCTGATAAGGGAACACTGTGTACATACGTGCATGCCCTTCCCTGGCACAGAGAAATGCTTTCCTTGTGGAGGCAGAGTGCTAATTAAAGGATTTTGAACATGCTGATTAGAAGCGACCATGCTAACAAAGCTGCTGAGTTATTTCTGGTCTCTTACAAAAGTGTCTGCCATCTCCTGTGACCTTTTTGGGCCTGTGCACTGGGGCATGCAATTCATTTGGACTGGACAGGATTGGGAGGGGAAGGGAGGGGAGAAGGGAATGTTGGCTCAACTGGGCTGCTAGGCTCTTGGCCTTTTAGTATAGTTATTTTTAACCCCTTGTGTGGTTTAGTTTAAACATGTCCAATAACAGTGGCTTATGAAAATTTATGCCTAATAACATTTATATTGTGACAAGATTATTACTATTACAAATGCCTTACTTATTTTAATTACCATTCTGATCATACTTAATCTGCTTTTTTATGTAGAATGGCTGGACTATTTTCAGTGATCATAAGGTTTTTTAATTAATAGTATTAAGAAGCAATCAAAACCTGATAACGCCTTTAAAATGTGTTATTTAGTGGTTCTTTTATGTAATCATGCACATGAAAATTTTAGCAAGGTTTGGTGCACTAAAATCTCTCAATTGTTGTCCTTTGTAATAAAATATAATGAAAATAAGAGTGTAAGGCCTGAAATATTAAATCCTTCAGTTTTAGGGAATATGGCAGTCATTATTATATTGTTATTATTTTTACTTAACAAATGTTAAAATTGAAAAAGAAAAAAAATAAAAAACAAAACAAAAAGAAACCCAGAAGCTTGTACATCTTTATCTTTAGACTTCAGAAGGATTCACTTTTTCTTTGATGAGATGTGTTGAACTCCAAAGAGCCATTTCCATTCCTTAGAATACTGGACCTGAGGTATTAAGCTGAATTTTGAGGTAAATAATCCACTGGTAAGATTTAAATATTCTAATTCCCCAAGATTTTGTTGTACTAGCATATAAATATGCAGTATTGACCTGGCTCATAAAGAATGCAAACTAAAAAATTAACATTTTGCCAAACTTGTTCCTCACAATAACTGTGTAATATTTTGAGGATGGGTTTCTAAGGTAGGCTTAGCAGCTGCTGTTAAGGTTTCTAAATGATGCTGAGATTCTGACAACAGCATGATCTTGTCATTGTCTTCAGTTTCCTCTTTAAAATTGAGTGCTGCTGCTGGAGTTTGCAGGCAGCTTTTTATGACCCTGTGTTTATGGGAATAGCCCTGAAGCCATGGAATGTGGGGATGGGTTTCACTGTAGCAGTGCGGGTTTGCTGGCCTTTGCCAGTATATTTTATAAGAAGAAACAGGAGACCAGTTGCACAACTCAAGGCTATATTTTGGCAAGCTGTTTTTTTCTTGGTGGATTTATAAAGATCTTTTGTGTATAAGCATCTTTTGACTTGAGAGCTGAAAGTTGCAGTACTTTGCTGTGTGTCTTTATCTGTTGGCTGACCCCAGAACATCTTTTCTTTATTACCAGTATTTGGATTTCTCCAGTGAACTCATTTTAGAAGTTGTTTTAGCAGATTAGATTTGGAGGTTAGAGTATTTATACTCTATTGACTTTGGTTCTCAAGAGTTAGAGGAGAGTAAATTGTTATAAGCTCAGGTACAGTTTCAGCTGGTTTTAAAAGTATGAGAAATAGACCGTTTTCTCAAGTATGGAACTCACTTTGGGGATATATCACAGAATACAGA